TCTTGCGCCCGGCGCTCGCCTAGGTGTCTGTACTGGCGTTCTCGCGACAGTGCGTTCCCTCTTCGTTGCCTCTCGCAGCAGCTGGAGAGGATGGGTTCTCCCTCTACTGGCCAGCGGGCGGATGCCGCGGGGACACGGGCGGTGTGTACCCCCCCCCACCGCCGGGGGCAACAGCACAGGGGGGAACAACACACCATCTTCTGTCCCGGTTAGCCATGCAGTTGCGTGACTGCACGACATCATGAAGCCACCTCTGAAAGCGAGGTTGCGTATCGACAAAGAAAACAACAATTGGTTTGTGCTTGGTCACGAATTTTTTGCAGCAGCGGTGCTCTTCTTCGTGGTGCCGCCTCGAACTGTCGGTGGCAGTTTCCAGATCAACGTGTCCAAATCTAGTGTTTTTCTTTGACATGTGGCCAGCACGAACGGGTACGCCGAATCACACATGTCACGAAACGTGGGTGGCGGTAGCAATTCACAACGGATCAAATACTGAACTTGGAAGATTGGACATCGATTTCATAGCATACTAGTGCGACATATGCAACATACACTTAAATTGGGTGTTGCTTTGTTGGGGCCTGCTTTCGATGTGCATTACACCCGGCCACGCACGCACGTGCCTGCGGATGATCACCAACACATGCGGAGGATCCACATGGGCGTTTTGACGTTTTACCTCGTGATGCTTGAGTGTTTATTACCCCAAATAAGTAATTACTTCTGCAATAGGTGGGCATGTGAACTGTTGTTAATCAGTCAATCTGCGTTTAGTTGTGGCGTGCCAACCTTGTATTCATGCACCCGCGGCCGTACACACGCGTGCCCGTGGTTGCTGGCCATCACGAGCGGGATCCAGCATCAAACTTGAAATTTGACCTCCGTCATTCTTCTGTGCCTCTGTACCAAATGAAGTAATTCTTCTTGTAAAAGGTGGGTATGTGAGCTTCGTAGATAAAACAATCGAGGTTTCGTTTCATTACGCCAACCTCATGGAAGTGCACCCACGCACCCACCACCCTACATGCGTGTGACTCCGGGTGTTGCCACCATCCACGGGATCCAACAACAAATTTGAACATTGACCTCGTCATTCTTAAGTGTCTCTGCACCAAATGAAGGATTTCCTTTTGTGCTAGGTGGGTACGTGAGCATAGTCGATATAAAAAATCAAGGCTTGGTTGCATCGTGCCAACCACATGGAAGTGCACCCACGCACCCACTGTCGTCCACACCCGTGACTACGGATGCCACCATCCACGGGATCCAACAACAAATTTGAACTTTGACCTCGTCATGTTTAGGCGTCTCTGGACCAAATGAAGTCATTCTTTTCGCAATAGATGAGTATGTAAGCTGAGTACGTGGAACAACCCTAATGTCGCTGTATTTGCCGGAGTCATGAAGAGACTGGGGTGTTACTGCTGTTGGGTACGTGATGTCGGTGGCTGTCTTCTGGTGGTACGCTCAGAGTATATTCCGGATATCCACTGCTACGCTGCGTAACTGGTTCAAAGAGTCTCGCCGACTTCTAGCGTATGAGGAACCCAACGTACCTTCGTCGGAGATTGGACGCCTACGCTCCTGCTTCGCCCTCTGTCGACGTGGATGTACGGTGAGGACTGCGCCGGTCTCGCCGCTTGGGTTTCCAGGGGGGGACACGTTTCCGTTGGAGGCCTCGTTTTCCATATATATATATTTTTTTTGCTGCGCGCAGCACTGTTCCGCACCGCCTAGACTTGCCACGGTGTGTCCTGCTCGTTGTGTTTTCGCCAACAACACAAGCTCGTTCCGATCTCTGCTCCGGAATGTCTTAATATCTAATTCCTGCACAAGTTGCTGGCGCGGGCGCTGCCTGTGTTCGCGGGCTGACTATCTACCAATGAAGCCAGTACGGAGTGCGACGAAGGTTGTATGTTCATCACCTCATTGGGAATCAACTATTCAAAACAATGTTCGATGAGATCAAGATGAGATTCATGAGTTCGTTGTGCAGTCTTAATATTCGACGAAAACACACAATCTTTCTGCTGTACCCTGCGAAACGAACAGACTTCACAGCACGTGGCATGCCGAGTAAAGGGGATCCGTAAGGGAAGTCGATACACAGAACCCAACACTCGGTCCCCGTCGACACGCGAGGCCAAGCGAAGCACGAGCATGCAAAAAATCATCAATGATAACCAGTCCAGGCAAATGACCTCGCGTGTCCTTATCCCTGTCTTTGTTCCCACTACGGTAGAATACAGCAGTATTCCGTGCCAGTTTGAGCCGGTCAGACTCTCTCACGCCCCGCAGCATGCCAACGCATAAAACAACTGCAGTCGCGCGTCACATAGAACGGACAAAATGTATGTACGTAATGTGAACATCCAGGAAAGGGTCTAGGGAGGGGATCAGTATACAGAGACAAAGTAGAATATATGGCGGATTCCTGCCACCTCAATTACATGCAGTCCGGCCCATATCGTAAAACGCGTCTTGCCATTTCCCTCCTGCTCTCGCAGGCCATGGTCGGTCTTCATACAACGGGTTTCACATTTTCTTATTAATTACGTCTGGCCCCCTACCCCGTGAGGTGGCGGTGTTTCGTCGTGTTGAGCCCTTCGCTGCCCCGTTCATCCTCTCATACTCGACTGGCCGCCTTGTTATGGTTCTGCCAAGAGGCCACGAAGCTGCCTTGCTTTACGGTCTGTATACCAGGAAGCGACAACAGACGTGGTTTGCGCTTTTGTGAGCGAAATTTCATACATCACATGAGCGCCAAAGGAACAGCACATTTTGAGTTTATTTTGCGGGGGCTGCACTCAACACCGGCTGTGAACTGCCCATGAGTGTTTCACGAACATGATGACAAGCTTCGATAACAACTTCAAAACGCTGGCCATACACCGAATTTCGGTCAGTCGTGCGGCAGGCCACACATTGTGCTCAACACTGAACCTCTCCGACGCTATTTGCACTACGTGCCCATCGCACGACATGACCGCACACCTTGTCCCCGATGGGAGCGATGCTATATCTGCTGCGTACCACGAATCTCTCTCTCTCTCTCTCTCTCTCTCTCTCTCTCTCTCTCTCTTTTGTGTGTGTATCCTCCGTGTCTTGCTGACTGCGGCCTGCCGCTCTCCCCTGTCGGACCGTGGTCGCAACACAAATGGTGTATGGTACCTTTTGTCCGAAACTCGAATACCCCTGTGTTCGACGGAGCAACAGGAACATAACCCTGAATGGCAGAGACTCATCGCGGAGGGAGAGAGAGAGGATGGTAGTCACACTTGATGTATTGCCTCTATGTAGTGTGAATCGGTTGGTTGTTCTCCTACAAGCACGATTAACATAGCTCCTGGCCAGCTTTTAGCCGTTTGTGTGCGGGGTAGTACACGCGCAGGACGAGGCTTCTCCTGGAGGCGACGCCTTTTCTTGTTCGTGAGTTCATTATACGTAAACATTAGATACAGAGAACATTTTCGGGTTTTGATTGTCGGGAACGCTTATGGTGCGCAGTGGCAGCATATTGCAGGTGAGACCGTGCCCTTGAGGCGGAGAGTGGCAAACCCATGTTGCGGTCCATGTGCGTCACCAAGTGCAACATTATGTGGATTGGTGCCACTTCCGTGCTGATAATGGCATCGAAGCGCTTCACAAGTCTGAGCAGAAGCATGCGACGTCCCCCAACCCACACCCACACCCTCACGCTCCACTTGCGGCGCCCCCGGTTGCGCAGTGGGCCAAGTGCATCGCAGCGCAAACGAGCCTCGGAATGTTCCAATATTGACGGCACTGGCAGCGGTGGCATCTTCAAGTCCCGAAGGGACAACATTAAAGCCTGGGGAGGGCGTCGCGACTTGCAACGTTATATCTATAGCGAGCAGAGCGCGCCTCCAGCCTAACACGCAGGTTTGATGGAGGCTGCAGGTCGTTCCGCAGAACGTTCTGGACCTGGTGGCGACGCTGCCACCGCAGCCGCCGCCGCCGATGACAGCGGCGTGTTCCACGAGACGGATGACATATCGGACATCCTTAACGTTGGGCTGGGTAAGCGAGTTGCTCACAATGATTGGGCTTGTGTTGGGCGCCAAAATCGCTAAAATCCCAACAGAAGCCCGCGTGCACTCAGACATAACAACGGTTGGAGTTGGTGGGTGTGCGTTCCCATCGCGAGCGCGAAATACATTGCCTCCCCCCGACCCGGAAGCAGACGTCTGTTGCTCACGGATACACGTTGTTCATACCTGCTGCCTGGACGATAGTAACGTGCCCCTTTTTTGTGTACAGTTCTGGCCCAATCATGTGAAATGCACTATCCCAGGCTCAGAGTGTTTGAATGAATGAGAGGACTGGCGCTACGACCATATCTCGTGTGTGGAGAGTAGGCTGTGCTTGTTGGTTGATACACGTTAGTCAATTTTGAGCCTTGCTCCCAATAGGTGAACCGTCAAGCACGATAAGTTTAACTCCGAACGATGTGCAACTGTGCTGATGTGCAGGCGGACTGCCCACCCTGTCGGCGTTGGGGCAGTTGTCGATTTTGTCGGCATCTGCTCAGGAGTTCAAACCGGGGGGCCAGGGCGACGCCATCCTTCCGTTGCCCGCAGGGGACCCAAGCCATGCGGTAAGGCTGCCCGAGCGCTCTTTCTGTCTCGCAGTCTGTTCTGCAGTTGTCGTCGTATTCGCTGCTGCGGTTGGTTTCGTTGATGTTTTTGTTTTTGTCGCTGAAACAGGGGGGCGTTGAGCACGGGGCTTGTCATTGCGAGAGTGCCTGGGAGGAGGGCGAGCAGGCTGCCGTGCCACCGGCGGAGGAGGTTCAGCTGTACGACGACGAGGGGCAAGGGGAGGGGATGGGGCAAGACCAAGACGCGTACTACGCAGAGGTACAGCTGGAGGCGGAGGTGCTAGAGGTCCTGGCGGAAGGGTTCTCGGACTGTTCCCCGGAGAGCTTGCAGGTGAGCGGGCGAAACACGTGTGGAATGTTGACTCCGTGTCGGCTACGCTTGGTGATTTTTGACGCGATGTGTCGCGTGTAAGGTTTTCGTGCAATATCCTCTTCGCGTCAACTGTGCGATGCCGTACGATTCTGCGCTGCGCTGCCAATTGCGACCGCCCTCTGGCTTGCCCTGTCCATCTCTAGTCAACGCGGTAGCCGTTACCGCCGCCCAGGATAGCTTGGTGGCCTCTCGAAAGCTCCCGCGGACCAAGCTGCATGCCCCATAAAATCTACCTTCTGTACTGGCCGTGTACCCCTTTTAAGATGCTCACATAGTGTTTCTCGATCTCCCGTAGACGCTCAGCACCACCCCCCCCTGCCTCTGTGTAACGGATTTGATCTCTTCCTGGGTGATGCTATTATTGCACTTGGCGTTAGGCGGCGAGCCAGGTGTCCGCGGGTAGGACTACATGTGTCTATGTGTTGTTGCTCTTGCTGCCGCTGTTATCGTTGATATTTGTGAGAGCTGGCTTACTCACCCGGACCCTCTCCCGTCCTCCTTCGGGAGGCGGTCGCTCTCTGCCACAAAGGTTGCGCTGGCAAAGAGCGGCTGGAACCTGGATCGAGCTTCCGCTGCTGTCCTAATGGCGCTCCAGGTGACAACCGTTTTGGCTATAACGTCACACCTCCCTGTGGTTTCACGTCATGCCCTCTCGCTGCAGCGCGTGTTTCGATGGGATGAGGTGCTTCGGCGTTTTTTTGGTTGAAGATTGTGTTCATTTCTGGAAGAAGTCATAGCGCGCCAGACGTATCGAGCTCCGGTGCATTCATTCACTATTGGGACACAGTTGTTCGAAGGACCACTGTTTCGCCTGCGCAAACCATCACCAATATGGAATCGAGAGGCTCTACGCCCCCCCACCAGTATCGCACAGGCGGTTTTGGGTAGGATGGAGGTCACCGTTCGTGGGATCCGCCGAGCACCTCATGGCGTTTCGCGGTTGGTACTTTGCGGACCCAGTCGGTGGAACCCCGATGCTCCCCGTCTTGGCTACGGCCCTTGTTACAAGTATTTATTGATTACTTCGAATTATTTGATTGAAACGCTAGGGTACGCAAGAGGGGGAACTATTTCAAGATGATAATGGAGAGTTTCTATATTTGGGCGAACGTGATGCGGTTGACGTCAGAGACTTGTTCTGGGCAATATCGTGGAGCGAGGAAACGGCAGGAGCTGTGGAGCACGATTGGTACCAGATGATGCCCAAAAGGAGCAATACAGGGACGAAACCACAAATCAGAAGGGGATTTCAAATAATTTGTTTTGGAAAAGCCAGAAGAGCTGTTCAAGTGTTAAAGGTGACATTCAATCAGTATTTGGTCCAATGAACCAGGCAAGCACCCAAATCCTCCACCCCTCCTCGTTCCCGCCCATGGCCTCCTCCGTCGACGGCAATCCCGATCTCCACAATCGAATAAGACCGCTTGCGACGCCTCTCTAGCCGTCAAGCCCTGCCGACACCTCCTGCTGGATGGAGAGTGCCGGAGGAGCGACTGTGCCTTCAGCCATGACTTCGCCACCACCCCCTGCCGTTACTGGCTGCAGGGATGCTGTGTCAACTCCTCGGATGATTGTTACTTCATGCACGACTTGGTCGTTCCCAACGAAGAGGCGGGGTTGTCTCCACCGGGCAGCGAGCCGGGTAGAATGGCAGAGGAGGTGACGTCTGGAAAGGGGCGGGAGGGATATTTTGCATGGGCTTAAGCATGTTCCTACGTAACCAGGTTCGCTTTGTATGATAACGCGGATATTGTATGTTCCTGTGCAATCGATAGCTCGTGGTTGTGGGGTGTATGCGTAGCTTTCATGGAGTTGGTTGATTTTGGTGTGGGGCCCCTGCGTACCTTGAACACGACAACTGCGAAGGAGAACGACGGATGCAGTGGAATTTTGAATAGATAAGGGGTCTACCTGGTGCTGACGAGTGAAGCCCGGCATTGTGTCCCCTTTTGGTGTTTGGGCCTGCTTCGGCAATGTCAAGGTGCAAAATTTCATTGCTTTCACGTGATTAAAGTCGAGACTGGAGGGTGTGATGGGTACCAGGTGTACCAGGAACCGCACATCGCGTGAAAGATTCCGAGCAGAATGTCGATTTCTCACAAGGCGGATTGCCTGGTACAGCAAGGAATGTGCGCTGGGTGAGCTGCCCGCTTCGGTAGACTTTCGCCATTGGCAGCACGTGTCTCCCTCACGTCCCGCCCACTGCTCGCAAGTTCGTCCGTCTGTGGGCCTCTCTGGTTGTCTGCCTGTCTGTCCGGTTGTCTAACATGCTGCTACCGGGTGGTGTGTTGCATCCATCCTCTTCCCGTCCGGGGTCTGTTGGCGGCTCGGGGCTTCATCATTTGCGTCGAGAATTTCAGAGCGGTGGTGGTGGCGACAGCGGCAGCGACGAGAGACAACTGTCCGGGGTTGACCAATTCCCGTCCCTGCCGTCGACCACAACCCGGCTCCCTCCGCCAATTGGCAGTGAAATAGTTGGCACGGAGGGCAGCGCTCCATTTCAAACGCCATCGTCCACTAAGAACGGTGTCAGCGGAGTCGCTTTGGACACGATTGCTGCGGTTGCTGCACCTTCTGCCGCCGGAGTCTCCGGGCCGCGGATAGGGGACGACAGTCCGGCTACAAAAAGAGAGGAAGCAGTGGGATGGAATGAAAAGAAGGATAACGAGGACGTTCTGCTGGCGGCAGTATCAGCGCCGAAAGGGCCGCAACGGGGCCGCGGGCGGAAAGGAGGACGAGGTCGTAAGGTAAAGAAAGATTCATTTTTTGTGGTGCCGGAGGGATTGATGTGAACGGCCGGAGTTCGTCGGGAACAACGATACGTTTAGAAAAGTGAATTTTCATACGATCAGAATGAAAACATTTTCTGCGCGGAGGAATTTCATTGGACGCGGTATGTTGTTTTTTTGGAGCAGAGTGAAATTTATATGAACGGAGGAATATCTTGGAAAGCGAGTTTGTTCTCGGAGGCAACGGAGCGAATATTCATGTTCATGTTCATGTTCATGTTCAGTTCATGTTCAATTTATGCAATACTTGGAAAGCTGTTGAGAAGCCGCGATGATTCGTAATCGGAGCTGAGTGAATATTGGAGTGAATACCTTCTTTTCGCCAGAAAAGAGATAATTTTTTGGGGGCAGAGGAGTGAGCTTAATCGAGGGAAATTTCTCGAGGAGGCGATTGCCTCTTTTTACCGTTGTGTGTATCTCGCTTCATCATGTCGAAAGCCAAGAGTAAGGAGAATGTCATCAATAGTTGTACCCTTGTAAAGACATGACGTTCAACAAGGTGGACAACTTGGACCGCCGTTTATCACCATATCTATCATGTCTAGCATCAATCTCGATCAGGTTTGTCTGAGAGCTCCACAGGCATGATTGTTTTTGCTTGATTGGTGTTGTTGCCTTTGGCTGCACTAACGTCCACGTGGCGTTAAATTAACACCAGGTGTCACTTTGCCTGCGGACCTTGCTTGCCCTACCTTTTCAACAACAGAAAACCTCGTGACCACGGCTACGAACCCACCGTATACACGATATCCGTATACGTTTGAGCTCCAACGTACTATACCGACTAGGTGCAGCAGGCCAAGCCGCACCTCGTTTCCTGGTGGAGTGTCAAGCCCCACAGTGGCATTCTTCTATGCACAGGCTGCCCTCCTCCCTCTCAACCACCTCACCTTTACGCTATTTCATAACCCTTTCTTCTGCAGACACGCTTCACCGCGGTCGACCTCCAAGCATTGTTGAAACCCGGCAGTCCCCACGCAAAAACATCAACGCCGGAAAATGTTTTCCACCCTCGGGAGGTGGGCTCGGGAATAGCCCAACAGGATGGAACCGGCGGTGCCAGCCTGAGCGCGGAGCCGGGCATGTCCTTTGCCGATGTTGTGGGCTCGTCGTCATGCCTAGCTGGAAGCACAAATGGGCTTGGAAGGGCCGCGGAAGTCGCGTGTCAGTCCCCCGATGCGTGGAGGAGAGCCATCGGAGATGAGCGGTATCCCCCTGCTGTCGTCGGAGGTGGGGGCGAATGGGTGTCGACTGGAGATGCGGTGGGGAAGCAGTACGAGCAAGCCAGGGAAGATGCGGCGGAATTGGCGAGGTACTGCTGTGATGAAGCATGGCCATTGCAATGGTGTCACCCTCCCTGTGCGACCACGCGTGACGCTCGGTTCCTCAACACATGGCGCCGGACGTCGATGTTTCTCTTGGTTACTTAAGCATTGCACTCGGCAGATACTTTTTTCACCCGTGCCGTTTCGCCCAATTTGCCTCCGATGGTACTCGAGGAGGTCAGGATGCTTGTTGTGTCACACAGCACCAACAACATATTCAGCCTAACAGCACAGCAACAGCACCAGTAACATCGACTATGGCGATGACAACAACAACATTGCAGGGCGCGGAACAAGTTTTTCACTTCGGCCACAGAGGCGTTCCAGAGGGGAGATGGGCTGCTCGCACGCGATCTGGCCCGTCGCGGGAGAGAGCTGAACTTCAGGATGAAAGAAAAACATCGACAAGCTGCCGAGTATATATTCGGCGCCAGAAACCCGGGTGATCAGGTGAGTGCTGATCATTGTCGACCCCGTCAGACTTTGCTGTAGTCTTCGGGTGTCGTTGCTGTTTATGTGGGTGGTCATGTATTTCTTTGAACTCCTTTAGGCACATATTTCTTCTGGTGGTGGAGAGTCTGTTCACCCGACTTCTGAAGGGCTCGCAGGGAACTCGTCGGTACACCACCGTGGATACCGGACGACCGCCAGGCATTCGTGGCACTTGTTCTCGAAGCCCAAAGTCAACCGCACCTGCCTCCAATTCGCGTGGAGGCATTCCAAACTTTCATTGCCTTTGCAGGAAATCCAATATAAATCGGCAGAAATAGGAGCACACGCTTTCTCAGGCGCATCACACACCCTCACACATTATAAGCAGTGCTGCACAAACGTGAGAGCTAGTGGGAGAGAGAGAGTAACGGCAGCGGGTTTCGACAGAAGGATGTGCAGTAAATCAAATGCTAGCGTATTACGCGCACACACTCAGAAAACACGAACACACATCAAAACTTATCCACAAAACATTCCGCTGGGTACGGTTAATCACTCCCTCTCTCACACACACACATACGCACACGAGCGGGTCCTTTCAACATGCCCACATCCCGGAGTCTTGCATGTGATAGGGGGAGCAAGCACAGCAGCTGGTGCAGGAGCACCAGCGTGAACAATCACCAAAACGTGTGAAGGTTTATCCGATCTGAAGGCCTTTTCTCGGCCTGCACGCCTTGCTGCTTCAAATAGTATTTGGCGTGACACTTTTCCTGGGCGGCGAAGACCACCGGCAGGAGGCCCTTCCGTTTTTCGCGAAGTGGTATTTGGCTTTTTCCGAGAAGGGCAGTTATCTCCTTTCTAGGAGAATTTCGGCACTTGCTCTTGAGCCGAAGGGTAACGACATGGCTACTGAGTCGTTCGGTGACTTTCGTTTCAACGCTAGACAGAGATGCAACATGACGTGCTGTGCATTAACTTGGCCACATCGTCTTGCTTTGTGCCCGGGATGCATGTCAAACTCCCAAAGGAAAGCGCCATGGTGCTCGACATCACGATAGACATGAACGATGCTCGATGTCGACGATGCTCGAGGCCATTGATGCTCGACGCAATTGACGCTCGACGTCAACGATGTTCAACGATGCTCATATTTCAAGTATGCTCCACCTTCGAAAATGCTCGACGTCAAAGAAAGTCCAGGTCAGCGATACTCAACGCTATCTTTGCTCGACACCAACGATACTCGACGCCAACGATACCCGACACCAACGATGCTCGACGTCAACGATGATCGATGTCGACCATGCTCGATATATATTATCCCTCTGGACCAAAATATAAGCTCGCTTCTAAATACGGTTATGTAGACCCAAATACGGTCTATTTCAACCAGCAGATCCTTGAAGTGTGTTAGTGTTGATGTCAGCAGAGGAAAATCGCAAAAAATAGAATAAAAGGACCCGGGGATGACATGATACTTGCATATATTTTCCCCCTGGAGGCGTACGTTTCGGAGTGAATATCGCCAAAATTGACTCCAAATCCGATGCGAGGCTTGCAACTAGGCACGAACACTCATTGCGAAATGATGACACGACGTCACGCTGTGTGTTCGGGTGTTTGGCGGCCGGTGTCTACCCCGGGGATGTACGGGTATCATCCCCGGGTACGGAAAATACCGTCACAAACTCACTTCTCCATGCGCCGAGTTAGGCAGATGGACACCATTTCATTCGGCAAGCACTTGACAACACGTCAAATGTGGTCCTGTGATACGAACCGAAATAACCCGATGCTGCTGAGGGGAATAGTACTGCGTCTTCCTCTCGATAGTGCTAGCAGCAGCCGTGCAAAGCACCCACGAAGCACGAAGAAAACAACGCTGAACGCTGCCAACGCGTTTTCGAGCCGGCTCTTCCCGATGTGTGGCAGGTTGTGCGTGTTGTCCCCGCCCGCAAGCATGATCTGCTCCAGACACGCCTGCAGGCTGAGCCACACCCGGTTGAGCGTAGCTGGCGGGTCCGTCTCCCACGCATTGTTGACGGCCTCCACGAGATCATCGATTTTCTTCGGGGATGTGCGGTCTTGAAGGGACTGTATCGAGTTGAAAACAAAGCGTCCGGGCTGTTGGCCAGCTGATTGAACCGCCGGATGTCCCGCCCGTCTGCCGTCAATGCAGTCTGCAGTTTTTGACCGTTGTTGATGAAGTGGGGGCGGGCGTTGTCCTGGCACACCCAGATTGTCGTATCTTCCGGGCTGACGGCGGCAGGGGCGGGTAGGGGCTTCCTCTTGATGTTGGGATGACGTGGTCGATCATCATGATCTTGTAGCGTTCCGTCGTGAAGTCCACTGTCCTCTCTTCCTGTTGCTGCTGTTGCACTGGGCTCTCACTTTCTCGGTGAACGGGTAGATTCCTATCTTGCCGTCGACGTCCGAGCCAGAGGAGACGTTGCTCTGCGGTCGCGCAATAGTCCCCAGAAACATCACCTTGGTGATGTGGCCTTTGTGCTGGACCTTCCGCGTCGGGGGCTCCTCGTCGTTGAACAGGTAGTACTTGTGCCCATCCTTGCAGACGTAGAACCATTTCTCGTCGACGTGCATGACTCGTCTCATCCCGTTGAACTTGCACCTTCCCCCAATAGGAGCGTTGGCCCAGCGCCGCGCCCATCTCAGCCGCGCAATTTTTCCAGCGTTGGTGAGGAGTGGCTTCAAGAACCGCTGTGTGGCTTGACCCCAGGGACTGGCATGTCATGTCGAAAGGTACCCTTCGAAAGTCCAATCGTGGCGGCCATGGAACGCAATGTGGTGCGCAGTTTGAGGCGGATTTGGCGCAGCACCTGCACATAGGGCACCATGTCTCTACCCTTGCGTCCAGAGTTACCCTCGCGGTGATTGAAAACTCCTGAACTAGACTCCCCTCTAGCTTTATCTCCTGATACTATTTCCATAGGCGAGTCGTAGTGAAGCGCGTGGCGCCAAACTGCGCGCCGACCACACCGAAGTCACCCCTTTTGACTGTACCATTGGTGCTGCGCGCGAGAAGTTGATAAAGGGCTGGCCTCCTCTCGTCTGCGGACATGTTTTTCCGTGTTTTCTTGTTAGCACCAGCAGCACCGGCAGCGCCAGCAGCACCAGCAGCCGACGGCATGGCAGGGATATGATGGGAAGGTAGTCCACCGAGAAAATGCAGTCGTTCAATGTGCTAGCCTCCGTTGGACGGGCTCAAGAAGTGATGCATTCATCGGAATTTCAAAAAAATGGTTCTGATCGGTTGTCCAAAACGTCACCAAACCCGCCGCGAAAACCGTTTTCAAGAATTTTCAGCAGAAGGCTTCCAACCTGACGATCCCCGTCTTTCGAGGCAGCCACCCTCTGATATCCGTTAGCGTAGGTGATGTTGTACTAGAAGGGCTCTGCTTCAGATCCTCGCGAAAACAATGAAAAAAAACGGTTCGAAAAACGCGCGCTTTTTTTTTTTTTTTCAATTCAAATGAGCGCTCACAGCACAAGTAATGCCGTTTACTCCAACCCGTGGTCACACGGAAGAGCCCCTATCTACCCTCCCCTCCTGCGTACGTTGCCTTCAATTTTTTATGCGAGAAGAGGTTCAGCACTCTCTCCCCTCTGTGTACACATGAACTATTTAGCGCTATCCTCTAGGACAGGAGCGGAAGCGAGAGAAAAACTCACTTTGCAAGAAAAGCTTGCTTACGCCGGGATTCGAACCCCTGACCTGACCTCCAGAAGGTTTCGAAGATACGTACTAGACCACCGGGGCGACCGGCGTATAGGCGTGTGATATTCCATTTTTCCTCCGAACATGCTCATATTTTGGTCCAGAGGAAGCCAATGATGCTCGACATCAACTGATGTTCGACGTCAACGATGGTCGAAGCCAACGATACTCAAAGCCAGCTATCCTCGATGCCAACGATCATCGGTATCAACGATGCCCGGTCCACAATGCTCGACATAAAACGATACTCGACGTCAACGATCTTCACCCTCAACGATGCTCAACGATCCTCGACTTGCAACGAGCACACTCGAACATGCTCGACGCCAGCGATCCCTCAAGCCCAAGACTGCTATTTTCAGCTCAACGATGCATATTCTGAACGGTACTTACGAAGCTCAACGATCCTCGATGCCAGCGATCCTCACCCTCAACAATCCTCAACCTCAACGATCCTCATCGTCAACGATCATCACCCTCAATGATCATGACCTTCAACGATCCTCCGCGACAATGATCCTCGACGATCGGTGAGCGTGAGGATCGATGATATCGATCCTCGACGTCAACGATCCTCACCCTGAATGATGCTCACCTTCAACGATCTTCCGCGTCGGCGATCCGGATCGTTGAGGGTGAGGATCGTTGACGCCTATCCTCGACGCGAACGATTTTTGGCGTCAAAGATCCTCGGCATCAACGATCCCCGGCGACAACGACCCTCAACCTCGAGGATGAAGAACGATCCTCAACGCCGACGATACTCATCCTCATCTATTCTCACCTTCGACCATGCTCCACCTCGATCGTTGACGGTGAGCATCGTAGGCGTCGACGGTTCTCGGCGTCAACGATCATTGGCGTCAACGATCCCCGGGGAGAACGATCCTCACCCTCAAAGATGCGCAACGATCCTTGAAGGTCGTTGAAGGTAAATATCGTTGACGCCAATCCTCGACGCCAACGGACCTCGGCGTCACGACCCTCATCCTCAACGATCGCCGGCGACACAACGATCCTCATCGGCAACGATTCTCACCCTCAATGATGCTCACCTTCAACGATCCTCCGCGTCAGCGATCCTCGCGGATCGTTGAGGGTGAGGACTTGACACCGATCCTGACCCTCAACGATCACCGGCGACAGCAATCCTCACCCTCAATTAAGTTCGAAGATCCTCGAAGCCAACGATCTTCGCCCTCAACGATCTTCACCTAAAATGGACGTCCGCGTCCACGATCCTCGAGAATCGTCGAGGGTGAAGATGGTTGGCGCCAAC